ATGTCCTTACAAACATGATTATCCTGTTTATGACCCGTATCAAAACTGCTGCTCAGTAACCTCGAAGTTCTCGGTCTTAGGAAGAGCAAACCCTGTCAAACTCATCGAGGAACTGACTCCCTCTAGTCCACTCTAGCCCCCTTCCATATGACCGTACAAAACAGATCACAGGGAAACAAAAACCGACATCCATAATATCTTCTGGACCTGGAAAATGGTTTTGAGGGGTGGACTGGCTGAATTGGTAGGATACTGGGATAATGATTCCATCTCACATCAGCACGCGTTCTCAAACAAGTAGCGGAGCTTTCTTGTTTACATGTCGGCTCGAGCCTCTAGTGAGAAAAAATGTTGAAAGGTGCCAGCGCACATGATGATGGCCGTCCGTGCATCTGCCATTAGCAGGATATCTCAAGTCGGTAGCATGTAGGAGGCCCCTCAAGAAACCAGACCCACATACACAGCATCCGAGCTCCGCACGGCACTCCAATGCAAGATTCGCTATGTCCCCGTCTTCCTGATTCAGTTCCAGTTTTCCTCAAGTCTAGCACCAATGGGCCCAACATCCTCTAAGACTCCAAGGATGCCACAGCACCCCAATCATGAGATGATGCGTCAGAAAATTGTTGCTTTGGGAAGGTTGCCTTTGGCACTGTGTTGTTGTGACGACTATGGGCCCCTGCGACTTCATAGCACGACATGCAGTCAGAACGTGTAGGTAGAACCGTGCCTCCCAAGCAAAACCGCACCCACAAGGCGTAAACAAGCTTCATAAGAGCTGACGAAAAGAGATTCCCAGCTCACGTCTGAAACATGGGATATAGGACTCCTTGTGCCATGTCTAAACTTCGCGGCCGGATAGCCCTAGCCAGCAAATTGCTCATCGCAGCCATCCTTGAATTTCTGGCAGGGCCTTTAAACTCGCGGCTTTCCCTGCGAGCGAACGAAGTACGAGTAGCAAGCAGGCGCTTATAAATGAGAATCCCAGACTATTGCTTCGGATGTCAGGAAAACGTGCTTTCCCCACGGGGCCTCTCACGAGCCTATCAAGGGAAACATGGATGAAGAAGGGCAGTACGATACAAGGCTGGAGATGCCCTTGCAGTTGTCCTAGTTGTTACCAATTCCGGCCAATGTACAGGGGCTTGACTGTAAGCGTGCATCAAGAGCAGCGAAGAAAAGCTTATCGAGCATGTGCTAAACAATCGCAACCCCGTCCTAAACATGCTCCAGCTTCTCTAGCACCACTGTTACTGTCCCTGACACCCAACTCTCCTGATGCAGACATCTATGACATTGGGATGGCCTGACCGCGCAAGAGCAACACATCCTGATGGCGCAAGGCGCGTCAGCTTTGGAATTGGCTAGTTTCGAGACATCCGCGGTTGCCGTAAAACAAGTCTTGCACTCTTAGCCAAGCTTGTAGGACTGGTTGAAGCTACGCTGCGATTTGCCTAACGGGTGTGAAGGGATTGTGTTGCGTATAAGGAGATGCTGTAGACTAAGCTGACTATGGCGTCGGCCAACGAGGGGTGCAAACGCTTGGAAACACAAGACAACATCCGCTCACTCCCTAGCCTGCAGAGAGAGAGAGAGAGAGAGAGAGATACTTCAACAACTTGCCAAGGCCAAATGACCCTGCAACATCTGCAAGACATTGTTCCAGAGCCCCTAGCTCTACTGCGCTGAACTGACCAAACGCACTAGCAACAGGAAGAGCCTTCATAGAAAACATAGATAGGCGTTTTACATATGGACATTGACTGAGCTCCCCTCAGTGCATCTTCGGAAATTCGAAGGTTGTCTTCACTACGCGGCACCTCCGGGTACGCGGCCGCGGCCGCGAGAATTGCCAGAAGTGCCTTGGTGGTGGGCATATTGACGCTTAACAGCCTTCCGACACATTCCGGGGGTCCAGGCATGTCTGTTGCGGGCCTCCTGGCACAACTCGACATGGCCCCCAAAACCCTCACCACGCTGAGACTTCCAAACCCCGGCCCCACTGCACACCCTCAACCCTAAAAAACAAGCACAATGCAACATAAATTTCACAACTAGTTCGTCCTTGGGCTTGCTGAGAAGTAAGGTACATGAGCCCTAGACCTTGGCAGCGCTCTAACTTTTCTGGATGCTGTACCTCTGATCGTGCAGGCCAAGCCACATCGAGCTTGGCCGCAGCAGGCCGCATGAAGGCATAGACCTCAAAGGAAGTAATAACTGTAACTATCACCCGTTTAAAACCATGCCTAGGGGGAGACTTAAGGGAACTTGCAGCACACACAGCTCCGGCCAAAGGCTTGGGGCAGATTTACACTGGGCTGCGAAGTATTCGGATGCCTGCCTTATGCACCAAGCCACAACCAAAGAAAACAAAGTTTTCCGGCTTTAGGCTCGAGCATTTCGTGCTTTCAATGTGTCTACCAGCTTGCAAATGTATGTGCGAGTGTCTAGATTCAAGAACACTGGCAAACACAAAGGTGCCAAATTGCATCCTGTGTCAGAAAGACACTTATGAATGAAGTTGTCCCATCCTTTCCTGCTCTGGGGTGGGGCCCAGGAAGTGCTCCTGCCAGAATGAAAACTGGCTACACAAGGATGGATCAAGGCTTAGTCAGGATGTGACCTTGAAGGAAGGCAGGTATCTTGGCTGCATGGTCATGGTCTCACAAAAATTGGCCCTTGGAGAAGGTGCGGAAGTAGTTTGGCGCGTTGGGCTTGCATAGCTACGTAGGTTTACCTGAGAAATGTTTCAGGATGCGGGGGCCCCAGCCTTGCTTTACATCTACATGTGGCAAAGAAACACAAAACAGAGGGGAGGACCCCGAATTCAGTCTAGCAGCACGTCCATCTAAGGTGAATCTCGAACCCCCTGCCCCCATTAGCCAGGCTGCAGCGCCAGTGTGGGTTCCTGGCCAGCCGAAAGCATCAAAGAGCTCTCTAAGCCTTGGCTTGAAAGAATGCTTTTGGAGGTGCAAGCTTGGATCGTAGGGTTAATGGCATCGAGGATGAAGAGCGAAGAGCGAATTATAGGGCTCAAGGTCTGGCGGTGTAGCAAAGCTTTTCATGTTCTGAACTTCATGCAGCCGAACCTCCGGACGAAAACATACACCCCTGCTTACCTCATCTACTTGGCAGAAGTGCGGAAGTTGGTAACGGACCACCTCGAAACTTCCCATTGAGTAGGTTTCTCTTCGGCTCACATCCATCCTTGACGGAGAGTGGTGATTTTGTATTGCATGAAGTAAAGCAAGAAGTGGGCACCCAAAACTCAACTACATCAAAGGGAGCTACTTGCGACATCCCTAGGCCGGGTTTATCAAAAGCCGCTTGCTTTTTCCCACGCTCTCGCCAGATCGCGTCGCCGGCCGCGAGGGAACCTCCAGGGGGGTAGGATCATCAAATGTGTTTACAAATCATGTGTGGTTCGGGCGGTTTTGCCTTCATGCTCCTCGCGGCCCTGGCCCAGTGAAAGGCAGGAGGATAATGAATCTGCAAGCTTGCCATCCAAATGCGGGATCACATTTCTTTTTTGCGTGACTCTCCTCGCAACAGGCGCGCAATTTTCTGAGGCCGAAGGCCCTTTGAGTATGCAAAGCTCGAGAAGCTGAAATGAGAATCGTATCAAGTTTGCACGCTGCGCGCCAGCACTCTGCCCCTACGCTTCAAGGTGCTTGGTGTCACAGCCTTCTCCGCCACTTCGAGCAGCTCCTCACGAGTAGAAACATGGCAGACGACTGTAAGATCCTTTGTTATGACTGTTGCTATTCCATCAATATTTTCGACCGAGGTTAGCGTCTCTAACGCTGCACTCATGTCTGCTGCTGGGGCCTGTATTTGTCTACAACTTGAGAGAGTCAAGATCATGAGTGCACACCTGATAGCAGTGGGTCCTGGGCCTCCTGAACTGTGAGCTTTGGAGCTATCTTCGAGGATTCTGGACGATTCCCACTGGCCCACCCGCTAAAATGATCAGGGCCCATCATGAACTCGCTTGCTCAAATTCTGGATGGGGTCCCTGAAGACGCCAAAGCTGCGCCCCTTTGCAAACACATAAATGGCTGCAGAAGAGCTGATTTCTGAAATGTGCCAGACACCTGCCTCCAGCGCCATGCGCTGCCGGGGGTCCAGGCGCGCAAACCGTGTGGCCATGTCCTCGCCTCACACTCATCGAAAGGGGTTTTATTATATAGGTGATTGTAGGTGTTATGTAGGGGTATAAGAAAAGAGAATGTAAACCACTGCTTTTTTGGGGTTATAAAGGTGTATATTGCACAAGGATTGTGAGGGCATAATGCGAACCCTCTCGAATCTGCCAAGAAACACCAGGAGTCGACCGCATGGATCTCAGAAGCGTTGCCGCTGACCTGTTTTGGACATGGGCTGCAGGGGACCCTGGCCCAGGGGGGCGGCAAGGATCTATGGCTTTGGGAACGGCCAGGTGGTTTAACATGGTAGGGGGAACTACCTTGACGAAACATTCATGACACTGGGGGATCGCATGCAATAAGCAAGGCTTCTCTGTACTTCTAACCCAATACAGTATGCTGTCAGTTGTAGGTTCATAAAATCCGCTTGAGATGCACATGGCATTTTAGCTTTGCCGCTCTGCGCAGGTCCAATTAGACACCGAACCTCAAGGTGAAAATCCACCAAAGCCTGCAGCTCAAGCAGGACTCCCACCAATTGCAGCAGCTGCCACACTGCAAAGCTTCTTGCTGCTAGTGCTGCCACCTTCCTTGACTCAAGCTTGTTCGTTCTATGCTCTACCCATTTAATATAGCGGCCGGCATCGTGACTAGTAACTAGTACTTCTCGTGCTGATGTCGTTGAGGCTGCCTTGTGCGGCAGCTGCCAGTGGAATGCAGCGTTTGCTCGCAGCTTTGCTGCACTCTTCAGCTTGCAGGTTTTTTAAATTTTGTAATTACGCGCAGCTCTGGTGGCTGCGATCTTGAATTAAATAAACAGAGGGTCCCATGGCCAGCACGCTTTGAATATTTGCTTCACTTCTTGAGCCACACATCGCCGGTGCTCCAGGTGATGGAGTGCTGGGCCTCCAACCGAATCTTCCCGAAGTAGGTTTGCCCGTCGACGGTTAGAACCAGAGTATCTTTGACGTTGGGTGGTATGCGGCAGGTGGTGACGCGTGGCAGCCAGCCGACGCTTGCCTCCAGAAACATGCCAGACACAGCCCCAACGTGGCGGCCGCTCTGCTGACAATACCAGCTGCCCTGCAAGCATTGCAGCACATGCGTCGCCAGCGCCTGTGCAGTGCAGTGCCGAGAAGAGGCTTTAGTACAAAAAACGCCAAGCAGAGTACTTCAAAATGTTGAGCCCTTGTCATCCTATATGTCGATACAATCTCTCTGGACTTGATGGGCTTCGACATATCTGTTGCCCTACCCTTGTCTTTCTGCCGGTTTTCCCAGCCTCATCGTCCGATGAGAGAGCAACTATGGGTTCCGCAAATACGCTGAAGCCAGGCACCGTGCGATTGACCACCTTGGCCGTAAAATACTAATCCTCTCAGAGAGATTGAGTCTACCGCCAGAGGGCCAGCTCCCTGAAAACAATAACAATTGCTGCTGCTACTTGCTGGCTGTCTTGCAGATGCTTTCACTATAACAGTCTATCTGTGCATCTTCAGAAAACCTCGTAGAAGACACCGTTTCTTACTCTAGTGTAAGTATATACAGTAGACATTGTAAACCTTGCATGTCACTAAAGCGAAGGCACCAGCTCTGCACGCTCCATCCCTGACACCGTACAGCAGATTGAGCATTTGCCAGCACATAGCTCAAAAGCCATGATACCTTCTGATTCTCCGTGAACTTTTGCGAAATGCTCAGGATCTAGAATTTCTGTCTGGGATACTGCGAAAATCATGGAAGCCTGGCCAAAAAGGAACTATAAAGATGCGAAGGTTGACTGCTCAGGATCTACTTAAACAATCGTGTAGCGGTGCCAAGAGACTAGTTCCTTTCACGGCGCATGTTGGTGTCAGGGTCCAGTCCGGCATGAAGTGAGCTAGTCTACTGCGTCGTGCTTGCTGTAGTCATGGTCTGGCCCGCGGCTGCAGGAAAGTCAGCTTGCGAATGTGCAAATGTGCAGTCGCATAAACTCACACTTTGACATGCGCAACATGGATCCTCGAGGCCTCAATACTTCACGGAGATTGGAAAACTTCCCATTACGTGAATGCTCCTTAGGTCATACAGTGAAGTGTCCAGGTAGCGTGTGACAACCTGGGGTAATGCCCTCTTGTCATGCGACAACTTCAGACTTATTACCATGAAGCGTCCCTGCGCTATGGCGTGGTCATCACAGCCCTAAATGATGTCAAACGAGCTGGAAAGCAAAAATGTCGCTCTCTTCGAGCTAGCGTCTTGGTGGTTACTAATACTGCTCTCCCTGCCTGGGCCGGTGGCGTACGAAGGGTCAGGACATGGTCCTCCAAGGTTGCGGCTTCACGGGCATCTGGCTTGGGGTTCAGGATCCCTTCTGTGTCCTGCTGAGGGTTCCACCTAACCAAACTGGAAACATTTCAGATCAAGTGCTTCAGAAGATCTCAAAATCTTGTTTGCTTGCTGTGAGAAGTGTATTCCAGAAGTCCTCCGCCGGAGCACTCTGCAAAGCATTGGCCTGCAGCGTGGCAGGTTGGATTTGCGGACCAACAGCCCCAAACGGCCAAACCTCTTTCACCCCCCCACCAGAATCAAGGACATGCTCTGCTTTGAGTTCCCCGGTATACCGCGGTTCTTGGCTTCTCTACGTCCCACTACCATCGCATCGAAGCAAGTCCCGTGTTCAAGCAGCCAGAGCTCTTCAGAAAAGACTCCCAAAGCTTAGCTATCATGATATGGTGAGAATTGTACACAGGAACAAGCAGGCAAGCTCTGATTGTGCAAGCTTCCTGAGGTACGGGCGAGGACCGGCTCAAGATCCCGCTTGAAGCTAGAACCAGCTGAGTCGCACTGCGGCTCCTCCCAGGAGAGAAGAGGAGCAACTAGGATATTAGCTTCCATTTTCTTTTCCATTAGCCCTACATTATCCCTACATCCCATGCTGGCCCAGCTAATAGGTCCAAGACGTCAGTTTGTCAAGACACCCCGCACATCCCCACGACAAGCTGCGCTATCTTTTGCTATCGCAGGCTCACCATGTAGCTGGCGGCCGCAGTACCTCAGTGACATTAGGGGCTGCACGTCGAGCGTTTTGCCTTGAATCCGCACTCTTGCAAGAAGTCTGCTGGCTGGAAGCAGAATGGCGCAATTGCAAAGATCCCATGCATAGTCCCTGCGACCTTCTGACAGGCCAATGATGGGGTTCCATATCCATGCATGGGAGTCTTGACTTCTTCTTGTTGTTACACCCAAAGCGCATTATCCCTTGCCTCGGCAAAACCTGAAGAGCAATCTTTTGGCAGGGAACTTCCCAGAAGCTTTGCCAACTCCTCCACGGAAGCCCCGCTCTGCCACTGCTTTCGCACGGCCGTGGCGCTGAGGTCCTTGCTTTGGACTCATGGGTTTGGGTGTCTTGGGCTCAGAGAGGTCTTCTTTGATGGGCATCCCATGGTCAATGAGAGTTGGTGGGCACTACTATAACTCTTGCTTTGCTGAGATTGTTGCAGCTACCAGCAATAATACAAGACCTGCACCTCCTTCGAGGCGCTTGCCACCGCCCATGCATGAGGGCTTGCTGCGTCCACTCGGCTGCTCACCAAAGCTGTACCCAAGCAGGGTGAAGGTACAGTGAGACTCCACCTCTGGGCAATTATCTAATGTGCCGGGGCTACTAGGAATTGCAAACCTGGATCACGATTTGGGGACTCTCAATATGAGATGAGACCTCGAAAGACAACGCTACCGGGCTTGGCAAGCAAATGTTTGGACATTGGTGCGATTCGAGTCATGGCACGCGACGAATAAATGAATGCGTGCGTTTCCTGAGCCCGTAGTTTTACTCCAAATCCTGAACAAAAACTCTCTAAGAAGTATATGCCGCGCGTCGGGCGAAAGTTCTGGCGGCGCCGTCACTTCTAGGACGGGAAACGGCAGTTGGTCAACGCGTGAGCCCAAGGCTGTCCTTGCTTGCAGGCAATTGTAGCCATTGCTATCACCGTCGCCACCAAAGGCATGCAAATCAGAGTTTGGGCCAGTTTGGGGTCGAAGGCTTGTCCACTGAGGCGCGCGAAACAAAAGGGTGAGGTTTCGGCAGTACGGACCTGCAGTCACACTCAGCAGAATTGGGCGAAATTGTGCCGATTCACTTGCCTGCAGAAAGCCTTTTAGCCAGCCATTGAACACAAAAGCTGTGTGACCCACATGGGACTCACAAAGAGCTACCAAACAACACAAGACCAGCCAGCCCACTATCCATGTGAAACCGGGAGTCCACTGCCCGGGCCTGTTGTGCACCACGCACATCCTCGGGAATTCGTGAATGTTCGTCCGCTCTTGTGCTGTGTGCCAGATTCGTGTAGAGTTTCAATCAGTGGCTACTGGCTGTTGCTTGGAGGGGTTCGAGGAATCTGCATCTACAGGTCATGGTCCCTCCACTCTTCGTCAGATCTTCAGAACACGGGTCAACAGCTCCTATCCGCAAGGGTGTGCTAAGATGATGTGCCTCGCAGATGATGCGCATCCAGAATCGTTTAGGCCTGTCTAGGAGTAGGATGCTGCACATCTCAGGCAACCACGAAAGGAAAATTGCAACAACCCTGTATCACCTTCTTCGTGGCACAGACTACGGCCTGAATACTTTTTGCATTTACAGAAAGATATTGGCAACTCTGTAGATGCGACCACAGCGCCGGAAAGGTCCCACCTGCTCTGCTTGGTTTGGTTCAGGAGCCTCTTTAGGGTTCAGGTGCTTGCATGTTGCAGAGGCGTCTCTTCCCGTCTAGTCTACGGTTGAACGATTCAGGGCATGATGCGATGGATTCAGCAAAGCTTGAGATTCAGCAGCCAGCACAACAGCTTGCTACGCATAGCCTTAGCCATCAGGCGACACATTTCCAGTGTATGAGTTCGGCGTTGAGGCGCTCAGACTAGACTCGTGTGGAAGGCGCAATGCCCAGCTAAGCTGGCACACGCCCAAGTCGACCTCTAGCTGCTATCCGGCACCACCCATTAGGCCAATCAAAACAAGGAAGGATATTCAAGTTTCCAGAGGACCTCAGGGCCGGAATCGCCAACAGTTGAGCTTTTTGGCGCTTGCTGTGTCTCCCACAGAAGTCGCTCCCCCCTAAAGTACACACGCCACCTGCTTCAGGGCATCATCCTTGGGCGCAGCCGGCCTGCGGGACGCAGAAGTTGAGGTTCTGAGGTTCTGGGGCTTCAATTCTTATCCTCTAGGGGCAGGATACTGCCGGTCGTTGTGCTCGATTTTTGAATCAAAGCGCGGTCGAGCCACATCAAGCTCATGGCCCTTGCATGACTGAGCACACCGGGATTGCATCTAGACCTCCGGCCTGTCCAGCAACTTGTCCTTGAAGTGTGAAAAGGCATCATCTCCGATCACCCAGATGATCTCCAGAGAAGAGGCCCAATCGGCACGGCCTCCAAAACAAGATGTCTGGGACAGAGACAGCAAGGGGAGGGGCCATCTTGGCTTCGCGGCATGTGCAAAGACGCAAGACATTGTAAACCCTTGGGCCCCACAGCACAGGCGTTGAGACTTGAGACCTCCAGCTCTAATGCAGGAGTGTGATGAGCTATCCAAATAAACCTTCTTCCAAAGAAACCCACAGCCCCACATCCATGCAGGCCTGAGCCTTCCATCCGCGTCACAGCAGCAGTTAGGTTAGCTCCTGGGCCGGGGCTTCAGCTTTTCTCACCTTTGCTACAGTAACCTCTCAAAGAAGTACGAAAGAAAAAGGCCTCAGCTTATAGCATCCCATCCTAGAGCCTGAAAAAAGGAGCTGCAAACCTTCAATAGTTCATCCACAAATTTAAAACTTCAGCCCACCTTCCAGTAACCGTTTGCTGGTCCCATTTTTGTGATGAACCAGGGAGAGGATCCTCCACCTCTAAGCAGACCCAGGCGCGGAAAGACCGAAGGTCCACAAAGTTGTTCCCAGAATTGCGCATGATAGCATACGGATCTGCCATGATCCCGTCCTGACAGTAAGAGCTTGACGGCTTCTGTTGCCTCGCGAGTAGTCATGGGCTTCAGGGCAGAGGACCTCTAAATCCAGCCCCCGATCCATGCAGAGCTGCGGACTGCATGGCTTCTTCCCTTACTTGCTAGACGGCACTGCAGGGACAAACAACAGCCGCTATTGACCTGTTCTATTTGCTGGGCTGCCTTTCAGGAATCATCGGTTTCTGGCGTCAGGAGGCTAGTGCACGTGAACGGGCCTTGACCAAATAATGTGGTTGCATTTATCTGTCCGAACATATTGACCTACAACCTGAAAGGTGGCCCAAAAAACGCAAAGTTGCCCCAAAATTGGACGTGAATGGCAAGGGCTCGACATAAAAGTCCATCTCCATGAGCTGGAGAATGATGTTCTGACAGCTGCTTACAGCGCTGTAGAAAATTCATGCGTTCAAAGCTGCTTGAAACTATGATACCATTCCAGCTGTGAAAAACCTAACGTGACACAGTGTAAAATGACAATGAAATTCGTGTGAAGGGCCTCCCAAAACTTTGAAAGACCCCGAACACATGAAATTAGCCTGACCGCCACGCTCCGCGACACTTCGACAAAACAAACGGAGCCGGACATGCCCCAATGAGTCTCGAAAGAGAAGGCTAGAGGCGAAGCAGAGCGCAACAAAGAGCGCGACGCAGGAATTGAATCTTTTCTCTGTTCTGCTTTGCTTCACGTCTCTTCTAACCACTCTCTCCAATTTGCAGAAGGCTCCGCAATGGTGATTCCCGCGTCGGGCGCGTGAACGCAACACCTTTGGGCCCAGGAAGGCCTGCGTTTCTTTAGCATTACCTTCTCCAGCTTCTTTACAGGGTACAGCTATCCCAAGATTCCCAGCAAGGTCCTCCTGCTGTAAGATGAGCTCCATCAGTCGCAGCCGCACGTTCCCGGAGGAGAGGATTGCTGACTGATTGTCCAGATTCCTTCACAGTCTGCGGGCTCATAGAGGTTCTATGTGACTTTTCTAGGTATGAGGCTGGGGGGTTGCTTCCGCCTTTATATAGAAGGACGAGCAGCGAATTAAGTTCCTTGTACTGCACGATTTGGGAAACTAGCCTGGTTTCAAGGTAAGACTCGAACTCCAAGCCCAAACAGTCAAGTCAGAGCGACAGGGTCTATAGTTTTAGTACCAACCCGCACATGATGTAAGCACAAGGCCGAGCGGCTTATAGCTCAAGCTTTTCTGAAGCTGCGGCTTGGCATAGGCACCTGCATAATCTGAGCCCCACAGCACTTTCCCTGATTGAACGGCCTCGTTAGCTTTCTTCACCTGAAAAAATGCACTGCGTTTGCATGGTCTTGAAAAGTGTGTATTGTTAGGGCCAGGCTACAGGAGACAGATCCTGCCTGCGAATAGCTTGGATCTGCTCACCTCTCTCTTCACCACTGCTTCCCAACATAATGAGCTTAGCCTCCAGAGCCAACAGAAAAGAACCTAGAGCTCCAGGTGTACAGGCTCCTCTTTGCGAGATAGGATGCAGCCTCAATAACTTCACACCCAGTCATGTCAGGCAACAGGCAAAATTCTCCATCTCAGCAATCCCGACTCTGACTTTGCTTCGTTTGGGCACTGAACACTCTTCCCAGGGATCAACCCCTCGCACCTGTTGGGCATAAGTCTAGGAGAAAACACCAGAAGGACTAGGACTCTCTCTCAGGCCAGCAGAAGGTAACTTGATTGATTGATTGATTGATTGATTGATTGATTGCGTGCGTGCTTACGGGTCACGAAAACCCCTGCTCGGCAGAAGGTCTTACTCTCTCTTCTTCTTCTCCTTCTTCTTCTTCTCTCTCTCTCTCCAGTGTGCTCGGCTGCTTTTCAGCCGCTACCCTTGTTCTCCGGACAGAGCCACTTACTGAAATGCTCTCGGACGCAAAGACGCACAAGCCAAAGAATGCCTTCGGAAACCACTGAATTCGCCGTGTACCTGTATGGTAGTCTCGCTTAAACCCCCCAAACGAGACTAGACTCTGTCAAGTGCGAAGCACCTGCTACCTTGATACCCTGTTTCTCCAGCTCTTGCCGAGCAGCTCGCCTTGCGAAGTATGCGTTTCTCGGGGCTTAGAAGGGGAGATCCGGGGGTCATTCTGAGAAAAGATCTCTTCTGAGACTAAAGGTAGAGCAGCGCTGACCGGGGAAGCTAGAAGCTTCGCTGTTGAAGAGTAGAAGACTTGTGGTTGGTGCCGGCGGCGGTGGCGGCACCAGCAACATGGCAGCGGCGGTGGTGGCGGGAGGAGAAAGAGTCGTTGCAGCAGCATCTGTGATAGTTGTGGTCGCGGTCGCGGTCGGGGTGGCAGCGGCGGCAGCGGCGGCATCGCTGGTGGCGCTTGCGGTCGCGTTGGTGGTGGCAGCGGCGGCAGTGTGGTTGTGGATGTTGCGGTGGTGCTGTTATGGGTTGGCTGCGGTCACTGCTGCTGTCGTTGTCGGTGTCAGCGTAGCTGTGGCAGTACAGTCGTGGCCACCAAGCATACTTGATGATGGCACAGGGCCCAATTCTTGTGGAACAGTGTTATGGCTAATTATTGCCTAACACAAGCCAAAGAATCATATTGCGGTTTTTTGGCCCTGGCTTCAGTCTGTCCCCGAGGAGGAAGATCAAGTATGCGATCGCTCATTCCAGGGAACAAATATTGAAGACTGCACACTAGCGATCCGCATTCCATCAACCACATCATTCCAAAACTTCACACCCCAACCCACCCCCAAGCCAAATCCCTTGGCATCTGATCAATCCTCAGGCCATAAGCACACGTAACGGACTGGGCGAGGGTCAGGCAGTTGAGGTGGCCCAGGTGGAAGGGTGCGAAGGAGCCAGGATACCAGAGGACCGCGCTTCCCTGCACCCCAGCTGTTGTTCGATAGGCTTGTACAGTACAGGAGCCCTGGAAAAATTGGTTGGGGGCACCCCAACCTGTCCCGAGACTGCTTTCCCTTAGCCGCCATTGTTTGCTTACTGTTTAACAAATATGCCCGGTTCAAATCTAGTCCACCCACTTGAACCTACCATCTTCAAAACACATCCAACATCCAAGGTCTCATGTTTTGGATTGATAATGACATGTTAGCAGCTGAGGTTCCAACACAAGGACTAGAGTGACTAGAGTTTGATGCTCAGGGCTTAGACGGTGTCTGACATTCTGGCCTTACCTGTGCTCTGAAAGCCTTGCATTCTAGTCAAATACCTGTTCTGGACAGGCACGGTTTTTGGAACTTGCATTGCCAAAGGCAGCGCAAGGCCAGGCACGGAACGGAGCTTCACAATGTGTAGCTAGATGAGAGCCACGCATAAGTCCCAACCAGCCCTCATTGCAAGGCACACTTGCTGAAAAATCTCCTTGACGCATTCCTTGCTGACATTTGGGGGTTTGAATTTCCTCCCAGCAACCTCCAAGCCTTGGTCCGTGCAGTACGATTACGTACGTACATGTGCTCAGTTGTCAATTAGGCACAAGTTTCAGGTTTCCTGAGAACGCAGAGCGCGCACAGCCCCCGTCCTGCGCCAAGCGATCCACCGGAAGTATATGCCTCCACAAGCTTTGGCCAAGAAGGTCTGTCAACACGTAGTTCACGTACGCGTTACACAAGACACAATATACAGAACGGACGACAACGACACTCCACTCTCCACTCGCCCTTGTCCACTCTCCGCTCCCCACTATCCACTTCACTTGCTGGACCCCAAGCCTTACTCGGAGCATTTGGGAATATGTGATGCGCCTACAGACACCGGAGCACCCTTGAGACTTTGGAGGCTGCGCCCATGGCTGAACGGCACTCATCGCATTCTGAAAACCATGTATATAATGGCAGGTCAGGTGACGTGATCCAAAGGCACACCACATGATCACGCCTCCAAGGCCCCGGAGGGTCAAAGGAGGCGCATCCAACGCAGCGTTCTGCGTACAAGCGCCTTGAAATGCTTGCGCCGATACGCATGAGTCTTCAAAGCTGTCCTGGGGCGTCCTCATTACTCCCGAGCTGGTATCCCCTAAAATTTCTGAGGTTCCACGTGCTAACCTGGGCGAGGGCAGAGCCTCAGCATGATGTTGCTGAATTTCTGTACTATATCCTGCAGTGACATGTTTGCAACATGTATCCTGTGACAGATACTTGCAAAAACAGCTGCTTGTGCCTACGACATGAGCCAGTGCCGGCCGAGCTGCTGCGTGGCCTCACGCCCAGAGAGCCAAAAACTGCCATCGCAGGTTTGGGGTGCGCCGCCTGGAGCCCGTGTCCAAAACACTTCTGCCGCTTCTCGGTAAGGATCCTGCATCACGACCGCGTGACTTACCGGGCACCCCAGAAATCACGATCCTGAGCAAGGAAGTCTATGAACTCCTCCTATTCGTCATCCTCATGTTTTCAGGTTGGCCAACTATCTTGATGCTCTGCAACAAAATGTACTGACATCATGGGCCTCAGTTGCATTCCCAGCGGGGTCGGTGGCTGTTGCAAGTTGAATGCGATTTCTGGGCCTCGAGCTGGCTAAGCTTGGTTTTATCAAAGCCATCTCATCGGCGACCGCTACTCTATAACTGTGCCTGCGAAGCAATAGTCCCGACCCGTGTCCTCAGAACTGATCAGCGTGTGGCCATCTGTCAGCAGAAGGAATCCAGATGGGCTCTTTACGACAAAGGCATTTGCATCCTTAGGCGGCAGATGAGCTCCAAGACTTGAGGGTAGCCAACTAGGAAGTGCAGGACTGTTTTTTTGTTGTAACTACTTGGACAGGCACTACAAATCTCATGCGAACGTCAATCCTGCCGACAAAATCGCTTTCCAAGCATGCGATAATGCCCGAGCATCATCAGACTCAGCACTGACTTGCCAGACTGCACGCTCACCAGCTTCTTGCAGGTGACCTCAAAGGGGCCAACAGCAACGCACGATATAAACACCATCCTGCAAGGAGTGCCCTTTGCACTCCAGAACAGATGCTGCCTACAAAAGTGCGTTCTGACAAACTTCCACCGGGGAGAGTCTGTGAAAGAACCTGTGGTCCTGGACACCCAAACAGTTCGCGTGTTCCTCTCAAGGATCCTGTGGAAGAAGGTTCGCTGATCCTGGAAAATACATGCGAACCCTGAGCCAGAACAACTCGAATCCCCAGCACAAAACCCCCTCAAAACCCAAGACGCCAGACAGGGAACCCGTCCTTGTCCGTCATTCAACTCCAAATCCCTAAATGCTAATCTCAGCGGTTTACGCCAGGAAGCAGAGCTCAACTATTTGGCCGCCCTGGCTGATCCTGGCCATGTCTGGATGATGTCTTTGACGACGTTTCGAGGCTTCATATAGAGCACGATTCCGTTAGGCTGATATAGGTTGTTGATAGAGCTTAATGTTCTTGCAGCTCCAATTGGCTTGGGCTTCCTCTACAGGAGTCCGGAGCAATGACGTAGTGTGGGGACTTGGCACGAGGCTCCATGCATGAGTTTTGCAGCTATCAACAATGAGGCCTCTTATGGCTAAAGAGTTTCAAAGTCGTCTTGCCACAAGACCTGGGCACAAAAGTTCGCATACAAATCCTGACGCTTCAAGCCAGCCCACCTGCACCTGCAGTCTACACATTGAGCCGCTATCGCCTTGAGCGGCCTTTTCAGAAACCTTGAGCAACAAAAGTTCAGTCAAAGTCTCCACTTCCAAATCCGCCGACCGCAGGCCATGGTCAAGTCCAACTGGGACTCCAGCCTAGCCGACGTTTTCCGACTCGTTGGGGTTAGAGAGTTTATTGGCTTCCTGGTTAAGAATGAACTAGGTTCATTCGCCAGTTTCGCCTTTAAAAAAGGATCGTGCTGTAATCAGTGTCGGAGCTTGCCCACGCATTGTCAGCGGTCCAATTCTCATGAGGTGAGTAGCCGCACTCATTGCGCTTGAAAATGCCGGCATTCTCCATGGTCACCAGTTGGCTAACAAACTCTTTTCTGGAACTTCAGTACACAATGTGGCAACGTAGCTTGCGGAATGTGCTGGCAACAGTAGGTGTAGCCTGCTTGCGGTTCTGTGCTTAGCACTATCTGACCAATGTGGTCACTGAACCCTGCACTCATGGGACTCAGCTCTGTGGGTGCCTGGGCTCCCCGCTTCTCGGGCACCGGCTCTGCCAAGAAAGGCTCCGTGCTGGAGCCCGGACTCTTCCTGCTGCGGAGTGCGGTGAGATGTGTGTGAGTCGTGAGGTTGCGGGGGGGCCATCTTCATTCAACAAGCCTAGTTCTTCTAGGCTGTTGAAAACTTGCTAGGCTCCAACAAAAGGGTTGCAAAGCAAACTCTCTTGTCAAAGTGGTGGCAGCATGCCCTCGCTGAAAGCCGAGAAGGTCCGGATAGTGAGGCTACTTTAACTTTTCAGAACTTAGCTCTTTCCGTGGCCCTCTTCCACAACAACGGAAACCCTGTCCGAAGCGTGCAGAACATGCGGGAGGAGGAAGAGACTGCAGCACTGAAGGAGCCATAGACACCTAAGCAAAAGTGAAGGTTTCAGGCTCTTGTCATCACAACAAGTACATTTCTTCCTTCAAGCGCGCGTTGCGAGAGGCTTGAATAAGTACATTCACACCCACGCTCTGTAGCCATCGAGGCAGGCTGACCGCAACAGAGATGCTAACTCCACACTTCTCGGCTGTGGTTTGCAAAGTCTCGCGATTCCTCGGCGGTGCATTCCGGAGAAAGATTATGCCTTGAACTGATTTGTACCGACTGCGCGGACAGGCTTTGCACCGACTGCTGGACAAGCTGAAGCTGCCCAGGTTCTGCAATGGGCCTGCATCCCACTGTGACAGCGAGGGGTCCAGCTTGAACTTCTTGTCCCTGCATGTGGCAGGCATAAAGCCAAAGAGTTCATCATGTCAGGATTCTCCTTCTTGAGTCGCTCCAATGGCCTGACATGACTAAGCTCACAATTGGAATAGGGGTCTGGGTGCCAGCAAGCAATCCCATTTGCAGCACCTGGCTCCGAAATGATGGTACCTGCACCCTTGCAAGGCTGCACAAGACCATCCCAGACCGATTAGCATCAGTTGCTAATTATCCAGATCTACAAGTACCCGACCGACGTGCCCACGCAGGCCTGATCTGGGTGGTAGGACGACTGTTGGATTTACGGTTTACGGCTGTAGAGCCTCAACAATGAAAAAACAAAGTTATCACGTAAGCACCAAGAACCTGCGATCCGTACCTTCTTTACAATACCTTAGGGCCCCAGCAAAAACTATCCTTGTAATCAAGATTCACCTGGACCTTGCCATGCCGTACGTTGTAAGGGGTCCCCCACACGGATCTGCGATACAGTATCCAACTCGGGCTTATAGGTCCTGCAAGCCTCGAGACACCATCATGGGATGCCTTTCGTTTGCCCAAAAAGCGCTGGTGCAAGGCCTGAAGGCAGGAAGGATGCCGAGGCTTCCCAGAAGTCTTGCAAAGTCTCTAGACGGCTTGAGGGGCTTGAGTCAGCACGTGGTTGGCGAGCACATCATCTGTTCTCACAGCGCCACTTTAGGTAAGATCTTACTCTTCACTCGAAGGTCGAGGGTGCGATGCTTGAATTATTAATTATTCATCACCGCTGCTACTTCGGCGATCAGAAGTTTTGCATGCAGTTTTGTGATATTTCCGGCCTAGTGCTTTGCGATGGGAACCTGCAACGAATCTGCCTTTTAACATTGCATTGGAGACTATGACATGCTAAGGGAGCCTGAAACCCCGTACCGACCCCAACTTGTACCTCCTTCATTTCCCTCTACAGACAAAGCGCGCATTTTGCTGGCGTCAATTGTGCAATGGAAAAAGGAGGCTGTCATTCATCTTCCCCGCGCCTCCGGCGGGAGCACGACGCAGACGTCTGCAGGACGCAGCAGCTCCAGTTGCAGGGCTCTTTCGAGGACCTGGCAGTCAACCGGGAAGGTTCCTGTACAGGCACGGCAAGCTTTTGAATACTGTGATGGGACTAGTGCTGAGTTTGTGTTGAAAGTCTCTCCGATATGCTTCCGGCTTGGTTCTAGGTGTTGGTGTTGACACCTCCCCGGCGCAGTTGAAAGTCACGCGCCGTCGGCGGTCACGGCGCAGCCACCGCTGAAGCCTCATGGGCTCACATGGCTCACTTGCAGTTGACCAGCTCTTCTCAGGATCCGTTCCGTCAGGGTTTAGGGTTGTTGTGTCTGCAAGCAAGCAGGCCTACAAACCTTTGACAGGCCTTGAGATACTGTAGCACTGGTAGGTACTACACTCCCACCCTTATCACCTGCAATCTCAGCAATTAGAGCATGTGAGGCGCAAAGCCAAATCTCGAAGGAAAATAGACGGCGCAGGCTCCTGCAGTTTGCTGGCTTTGTGACTGGGGCTTGGCAGGTTGCAGAGGTCCTGGGGTGGAGTGCAGGGTTTTGAAGGTCCGAGTCCGGAATGGCAGGATGGGGCAAGCCTGACGCTGCTAAGAAGTCGAGAGGTCACCGAGGCAAAGGCCCCAGAAAGCAGGTTGTCATCACACGTGACTCAAGACGCCCCAACCTTCGACATGCAGCAAGAATGTTCAAGAAGGTATTCTTAAGCCAGAATTGGAATACAGGCATAAAGCAATCGCCCACCAAGTATGAAGCCAGCCAACAAGAAATAGCTCCTTGGAACCTTTTGTTGAGTCGCCTTGTTCCGTCTTTTGCGATATGAAGCTGCTCTTTGGGCTGACCCGTCGTCCTCGTTGCTGAGCCAGGCCCCGGGCTTCAGCCTGAAGTGCCTGGCCAAGTGCATCTCATGTTTGTTGGCGCCTCGGGCTTTTGTCTGCGCCAGTGGTTGGAGCTCTTGGGGTGCTCATGCCTGCAGCTCTACACAATAGGTCAGATTTTGGAGCCTAGGGGCGACTACCGGAACGAGGACAGGACACGGTTCGGGATTGAAGCTTATAGAGTTGATTTCCAAATTGTATTACCTTTTGTGGGCTCGATGGGCCTAGGCCTGGCTTTGCTTTACTGTCCACATTCAGAATGACTTCCGCTGCAGGCCTCCGAGGGTTCCTCACATGAAGCTCATCCAGTATTCCGGCTGTTTCAGACGTTGAAACTTGAACTTGCCACACTTGAATTTGCTCACTGGCCAGGCATGAAACAGGTAGTGTCCAGCGGAGGCAGTAGACTTAGTGTAGCCGAGGAAACAGGGCTCTCTCAAAGCGCGTGCAGTTCCACATACATACATACATACATCCATCCATCCATGCATGCAGACAGACAGACAGACATTGAGGCTTTGCATAGTCTGTGCTACAGTGCTGCTGCAGTGAGCATAGCCCGGCAAGTGCGTGACCATGTCACAACGCATGTGAACTACAGCCCTAGAGAGCTCTAGAGAGCAGCTAATTACGTGGAGGCGTGATGTGGAAATCGAAGCTCCACTGCCTAGCTGGACGTTGCATGATCAACTCTTGCAAGTGAGCTCGGGGATCCGGCACGCACGTTTGTTTCAATCGATACGAAATACCTTTGGTAGGGTGGCTTTAGCTGGCAAGATGTTGCGGATGAGAGAAGACAAAAACACAATGAGCAGGAGGAACCGATTACGCTTCATTGAGATCTCCAGTGACTCCCGTGTGCTGCAATTAGTGTTGGCGGCTTAGAGTCGCAAAGCGGAAAAAGCATACAGTGGCAACATGCACCTTCGCAAGCCCCTCACAAGTATGCTAGATGTTCTCTTCTCCAAGGTCTTTCCAGCATCACATCAGAAACAGCAGCTAGATCTACATATTTCAGGGCCCCCCCAACCTGCCTGTGATATGCAGGATGAAATGTCACTTCGTCCAGGACCTCCCCCTCTGGACCTCACTTGGTATCAGCCGCCCGGCACACGTGAGGTGGCCCATTCAGTGGTATGCATGTGGACACTAGCTTTCATGTACAACAACACATGAGCCATAGTCGAAACTTTATAGTCTCCCCCTTCATGAGCTCTATTCATAATCCCCCATATAACTCCCTTTAAGAACTTTAGACTATGGCTCAGATTTTGCTTTTAGGTGTTCACCTCGCAGCTTCCGCATTAGCAACGTCACTCAGTCTGTGCGAACGTGATGCTACAGCGGCCTCACCAGGCACCAAACAAACTTCGCAGTGGAGAGCAAGGATCCATCAGAGTAACAAACAGTGGTTTACAGTTAACAGCGCGACGGTGCGGATCCCATAGACTTCTGGGGAAAATTCATGGCCTGTCAGCTTCAGACTTCTACGGATGGAAACACCCTATGATAGCGATGTTTGCCTTGATGCCATGCTCTCAGCTCTTCAAGGCTGAACTCCGAGCCCCAGCCTAGTCCTCAGAGACCGAGCCACAAAATGTTGGCGCCTGCATTCGCCATGTCGACTTTCCCGCGCCGGTGGGCGCCAGAACCAGCCTGCTTGGCTTGTCTTGAACATTGCAATCTGATCTCCAAGCCTGGGATTTGTATTCACACATACCGAGGATCCTCAGATCCAACTTCTCATATCTGTAAATGCTAGCAGCAGCAGGAGTTGACGCATGCAAATCCACTTCATACCACATGCTTCGTCGAGCTGGCCATAGTGCACAACGTTGCTGTAGCCCCCGCATACTCCTTGTCAATAACGCATAGCCGGCATAGCCGTAAGTCCAAAAGCTCAAGTCCCACCCAGCCTATGCTCAGCTTCGAGGGGTTCGCTCGGCTCCGAGAAGAGAAAGATGTCCACGAGCGACCTGGAGATGAAAATCTTCATAGGCGAGTGCCGTTCACCCTTTCCGCGGTGGCCAGGTCTCTTGTCTACGCAAACCCTTTAGAACCCTGCAAAACAGGAGGCAAAGAACTGCTCCCCGCACCCTCCGGTGCGAAGTGCCAACCGCTCGCCAGCCGCATTTGCGGAGCTCGCGGGCGATGCCGCCTGTAGGATTCTTTGGCTATCCAGCAAAGAAATTAGACGAAGGCTTGTCGCTAAAGGGTTTTGAAGGAACACGCAAAAGGTTTTTTCACTGGCGTGCCCTCCCTTCAAGGGATCATGCAAGGGTTTACAATCATGTAGGGTCTTAGCAAAGGTGCTGTGTTCCAAAGATCCCTAGCAGTGCCTGGCGCCAGAGCACGAAAAGGGGTACCTGGACAAGGCCGCTAGCGCTTGGCAAGAAGTGGATAGCAGCACGCATAGCGGTCATAACAAAAAAGAAACAGTTTGATGGTATTGCATAATGGGACGCAATTGATGCAGAAGCCATTGGGATCACGTGGGAATGCGATTTAAAAAATGGGTACCCCATTGCACACTGACAGTCTGAGGATCTGTACCACAAGCTTCATCAAGGACATGTAGAAGGCACCCCTAGTTGGCGTCAACACCGAGCCCTCTCTAAGTCAGGAAAGATGGCCTGCGCATTGCGGGTCAAATCGGTGCACAGGGGTTTCAAGCACTGCTAGTTGCCGCACTGCTGTACCGGGTTTGCATGGACCCTCAACAAAGCGCCAAAGCAATGATTTTCCACACACAACAACTGCACATGCAGGCCTTGAAGCTCAACTGCCGTGCAATGGTGAAGTAGCACCTGCTGGCATCTTAGCAATACCTAGCCTTGTCATCATATCATGGTGCAGCTGCTGCCATTGAAAGCAGATGTCGTCTGATTCAAGTCAGAATGAACCCACGAACCTAAATTATCAAGTGGCCGTACAAAATGCAACATACTGCCGGCAATCCAGCTGATCTTGCTCACAATGTGTGGCTGCTCGTGCGCTTTCCCATTTGCTGCCGAAACACGGCAACCCTGAATCCTAGATGCGAAGCCTGCAGAATTTGGTATCTGCGCCCAAGACACGCAGAGGCTCTCGAGCCTTTGCTCTCGTCCACCTTGCATCGAAGAACTTGCATCAGATTAGTTGGCAGCTTTCAATTTGAAACTCTGTCGCAGAGCTATTGGGATTCTGCAGGCGCGCAGAGAAAGCAAGAATAATCACAAGGAACAGGGCGCTTGTATTGTTCTAAGTTCAGAAGATGGGTGGGTGTGCTTCTCAACCTCCAGAAGCCTTGCATTTTAAAAGTGCTAGCTGCTAGCAATACTGCGTAATCATGGTACTAAAGACCTACACACGATCCTTGGAAAGACTTTGCCCAGCCTTCAGAGCTTCCGCCAGGCCTTTCAGCGCCTCCACGGTGTGGCCGTCGGGAGCTGTGGGGAGGAGCACCTGACCATCATTGCAGTCTCGCCTTTTGGTGTTTACGTGGGTCTTTGGTGTTTCTCGAAAAGGGCAGCCCTTGAGTATGAGTTTGCTTTACCTCCTGTCCTGCTTAGCCCGTCAGGACCCTGCTGTGCCTTCCGTCCAACCCCTGCAGCTTGCTACCGCAGAGAAACCCAGCTGTCAGCATTAAGGTGGCAACAGCGGCTTCAAACGATCGTGGTATCAAGCTCGCCTGAAACCTGCAGACCTTTAGCAGCCGCGCGTCCCGGAGCCCCAGGCCTCCACGCCTGGCACAGCCACCTCTGCTCGAGGTGTTGAGGGCTGCGTAGGTGCCACCATGGGCCCTGCTTTGGGGCTCCTTGAGACCAGCGTGCTCTGCAAAGCTTGCAGGTTTGGTCAGAAGCTGGATGCATTTATAATGCGTTGGCATTCCTGTCCTAGTGTGATGATTGCCGATGTGTTGTGAACTGATTTATGGGGCCTTGGAGGAATGGAAAGCAGCTCTGGCCCGGCAAGAACATCAGAGGCCAACATGCGGACTCAACGGCGGTCCTAGCCAGCACGCTTGCAACGAGTTCTTGTTGCACCTGGCCAATATGTTTTCCACCCCCACCCTGGCTACTGCTTGCAGCTTATTGTCATCAGCAAAGATATGGATACTAATGGCGATGCTCCAAGTTTGTGAGCAGATGCGGTTTAACAGGCTTAGGAGGATGTCGTTGCTTTGAAGTCTTTCCAGGTGTTCACATTTCAGACAGCTTCGCACGTTGCCTCTAGATTTTCGTGCCAGCAGTATATTCCCAGTTTTGTTTTGGCGCTAGAGGCAACGGCAACAGCAAGACTCGTCAGAAAGCAGCTCAGCAGCAGCGCACCTGTATCTCTGCAAAAATGTCGAAGCCCTCGCCGAACATGTCCTAGCTGAAACTTTGTCGAATGACGGAAGGGCACCCACGAGCTGCATGCTGCGATCACGTTCTATCCTTCCAACTTCGCGTGATGAACAAGGACAAGCCAAGAAGAAGACCAGTAAGTAAGCGAAGCACACACGGTAGTGGTGCCTTTGGGAGCTTCAGCACATACTGCAAACATTGTCCTGGGAGTCGTTCATGAAGGGGCCTGGAAGGACCAAGACAAACAGGTCCGGCCGTTCCTGCCAAAGCAGGGGCCCTTGCACAACACACAAATTGCGGTAACCTGGCACCGCGTGATCTCTTGAATATGCGAGTTTGCAAGGGATTACCAACTTGGCATCCCTACATAATGGGTGAGGCTTACAAGTGAAGAAAGGTAGGCGTGAGAAACTTTTCAGTTTTGCATGAGATGCCATCACATCGTGCTATAAGGCTATAGCTATATCTCACGTTAGCTCTCCAGTACCTGATCATAGCACACGCCAACTCGAGCCAATTGCTGTGGGATAGGCGCAGGGCCTTACAGGAACTTGTCCACTCAGACCCTACCTGGCATCCCAGAACACCAGGATGTAAATCACTCTCCTCATTCCATGCCTTAAGGAGGAGATACGTCATGTGCTCCGTGAATGACAAGGCCCGGATTCCGGCACTTGCGGACCGTTCAGACCGGGGGGATGACTTCATTCTCGTCAAGCTGCAAGAGTCGATCCCTACGACTTCGTGGAGCCCTGCCTTGCCCACCGCCTCTGCGATCTGCGTTGCCAGGGCTCCTGCGTCCGCCGGCCAGGCACTATGCCCTTGGCAAACATCGCCCAGGACCTGTTCACATGAAGACAACTAAGTGCATGATACCAAAGCAGGTCTCGGAAGCCTAAGTTCGAACTGCTCTTCTGTTTCTCGGGCTAAGTTCGAAACGCTTTTCTCACACTGGGTTCCATCAGCATTGGACCCTGTGAACACGGACGAATGACCTCCAAGAGCAGCGCCCCATTCCTGCCGAGGAAGGATACCCAACAACAATGGCTCCTTTGTACACAAAACGGTGCGGCATAAAGGTTCGACTCAGAATTGGGATCCCGCAATTCCGGACATACCCCCGAAAAGAATTGTCTGCTTCGGACTCGGACTCTATAATCCTCCTTCACTATCCCCTTACCCTCTTGAACCCTTTGACAGAATCTGTCTCTGAATGCTCCAGCTCTGCAGGCGGAAAGCTCGCTGCAGGATCTCCAGGTCCTGCTGGTGGACGCGCGGAGAGTGGCGCAGGATCGAAGCAGCCATGGCTGAAGAAAATATTGCTTGTTGCTGCTTCCATCTCGGCAGGGAACTGTGTTGTCTTGCTTATGTATGCCTGCTGCTATTAAGAGCCATCGCGGGGTATTTGGCTGTAGATTTCAAATGGGGTCTGCAGGGAATCCACGATTGCGTCCAAGAAGTCTTTGTAAGCTTGGAGGCGCCGATCAACAATCTCCCCAAAGCCTCGCTGCATGAAGTCTTCGGCTTCTGCCAGTGAGAGGGCATACTTCCGAGCGCGACTATCATGTGCAACAGCCACTCTGGTTTGGTCTCAACGAGTTATGCAGGACCTCCTGCTATTGCGGTTTGACAGCAACGTAGCAACGTACTGACCACTGAGCGGATATCGGACAGGCACCTATGTCCCGATGAGGAACGTTACACAGCCCACCTTTTTTTCTGGCAAAAGGAAGTGTGGTCCCACGCATGTATCAGAGAACCCGGCCTGAGATGCCTAAATCTCCAAGACCTGTTGAGGAACCCCGTGGGCTTCTGACGAAAAAATGCTTTAACTCCTGAGGGGCGTGTGTTAGTGTGGCGTCCTGCTCCTCTGGAGGAGGCGCTTGCTGCGACCAGCTGGTCGCGCACGGCGGGAGCAACACCACGCGCTCAAAGTCCGCAAATCTACCTTCCACGTTACAATCCAATTAGTTGAGATCTTAGAAGTTTGAATGCGCTTGAGTACCCGAATCAGACCTGAAAGGTTCTTTTCCACAGAGACCCTCTGAGATTGCTTCTAGAGAAAAGAGGAATGAGTTGCAGATAGTTGAACGTACCGTTTCCGACATGTCCAGGTTCCGCATATCTGCATAGAGCACGTGGCGCATTCTCAATCTCAAATGTGCATTTTTTGCTAGCGTTCCCAGCTTAAAGCTTAAAGCAAATATTACTCAGCTTCACTGCAATGTACTTGGAACAGAGGGGATCGGAGCTGTCGCACTCTGAAACCAACCGCGATACCAAGCAGAGCTGGCGTTGCTGCTGCGGCTGCTGGTGCAGCTTGCACTCGGGCTGCTCGCGCAGCAATGCCTGGAGACCTTCGTCGCGAGGCCAGGGCCAGGCCGGGGTTCTATGTAGTTGCAAAGTCAGAGGAAAGATCACAGAAACTGAAGGCCAAAGACTCCTCACAGCGACCACATCCAGTATCTTGCAGTCGTGCAGCGCACTTGCATGCCTCTTCGGTTGTTCTGCATCGGCCCCTCCTGGCGGTCTTGCGGTGCTTTCTTGCAAATGCTTCGTGCTTCGATGAAACTACATTGGTCTCTCCAAGCCCTTGATATTGACATGCATGCGCTCCTGGGGCGGCTCTACGTTCAGGATCTGATGGTTGGGAGTATTCGATGGCAACCAAGAGATGAATTAGATCAGCAGTGAAGTTGTCCAAGGGGTACATGTCGCCAAGTAAGTATGTTTATCCTGTCAACCTCCGGAACTCAAACCCTGCGTTGCATGTTGTCGTCGTTGCTGCGTTTGATGAGAAAATAAAGCTTTAGTTACTTTAGTTAGCCCAGTGTCCTGCTCCGCGGCCTGCAGGCAGACCTCGCGTATCTTGGAGATGGGGTGTGCTTTCACTCTCAAGGCGTGACTAACGGACTTTTCGAGAAAAAGTAGGGCTTGCTTCATCGTCATTTGGGTAAAACTCTCCGCAGGCAAGAGCCATTAGCTCGAAGATAATTCGTGGCCTACAGTAAAATACACCTTGCTATGCTCTTGAATCATCTCAAGAACTCGCTAGCTTTGGGGCGTATATATCCCCAGCTTCCATTTCATTCTCCACTCTCCTTTCCATTTGACTCTCCGTTTTGGTGCGGACTTCCGTTTTTGTAGTTTCCATTCCCATATAATAAGCCTGCACATGCTTAAATGCGGCTGGGCTGCGTGTTGCGTCTGGCGGCCGCGCGGCCGCTGCGCTCCGGCTGCGGCGGGCCGCCGGCGTCTCTGGAGGCCTTTGCTCACTAAGACGGAAAGGTGGGGTCCATATCTTGCGATGCTGCCTGGCTTAGCCCAGTGTGCTTTCGACCTTCGACACGATTCCAACTTGTTTGCAACAGAAAGCGGGAGATCTGAAATTTCTGGGTGGGGGCCTAATCAATGCCATTGGCATGCGGCCAACCCGCCCTACTCGAACCCTCTGAGGTCCAGGCTGGGGTGCAGGCTGGGGTGCAGGCTGGGGAGGCGTCGCGGAAGCAGCAGCCGCGATGACCTGCTGAGGAACCATCACTACCGACTACCGATACGCGTTATGCTTGTGAAAGCATCGCACACTCCAGCTGCATAGCTCTTACGGAGCAAACTGGGGCAACCTACCCCGCAACGTCAACCCGCAAGTACTTCCGCTGGACTTGCCAGCTGGCCAGCTGCTAATGAAAGTGTCCACGATAGTTTTGCTTCATGACTCGTTCCTCAGGCCGTGTCTCATCAAGACTTGATGCTGGTTGCAAGGGACCTGGGCAGCGTCCACAAGCCGGGCCAGCGCAGCTGCAAAGTCGGGCGCCTCTGATCTACATATCCGTATCGAAAAACAGGGCTGAGGCTTCGGGCTCAGGATAAAGAGAGCTTGATATTCTGGAGTTCCTGCCTTTCAGTACTTTCTTTTCAGTTACTTATCCTTCCAGATCCGCACCACCATTTCATTTGCCAGCTTATCCTTCGCAAGTCGCCTCATCATTTCATCATCCTTCCAGATTTCGACCTGTTTGCTTTCATCATCTGCTCACCCTTCCGGATTTGGCCTGGATTGCTCTGCACTACACTCTCATGTAAGCAAGATCTACCCAGAAAAAGGATCTCCAAAATCCAGGACACAAACCCTATGCAGAATGCAATTATGAACATCTCGAAAACCCTCTCACAAGCTGATGACTGGAACCTAATGAAACATACGTTCTCATAGCCCAACCTGCACCACCAAGATCACAGGACTCCCGAATCTTAGCTTCATGGTCAGATATTTGTTGAAGCTTCAGGCTATGGTGTACAAGTCCTTGAGACTTGGCATTGTGTCAGCAACATACAGCTACACAAAACCAACCAGGCCAGACCTACTCAACCCCCGAAGTAGCCAAAAAGTCGCTGGCCTGGCTGGGGTTGGTTGGGCTGCGGCTTGGTGCTTGGCTTGGGGCGGCCTGGCTTGATGACACCTGGCTTGGTGCTGCCTGGGCTGCATGGCTTTTGGCCACCGCTGGCTGTATGCTGCCTTGGTCTGCCGGCATTAAACAGCGAAGACATGCAAGGTACAGCGCCAAGGGATGTTCTAGACCCGTTTTGGGGATCGTATCAAAAACCTGGCAGCCAGATTCCCAATCTGCCGACATAAGACACACCTTCTGATTACCACTGCACTTAACAAGTGGAGGACAGAGGACACGTAATTCCAGTATAGTAGAAATGGTAAATGAGGCGCAAGCTGCGCCTCTGAACTTCTACAATCCACCAAGGAGGGTTCTGGCCGAGCTTCTGGGCTCGACAGCTGACTCAGAAGTGCGAGGCCTGACACCAGGCCCACGCCCATCCCTTGGAACCGTCCGCACTTCTGGCGGCGGCTTCTTGGGTTTCCTTGGTTTCTATCTTGTTCCGGCTACTGAAGTCGTGTGAGCTGCAAGCCTGTGCAAAAGAAAATTGGATCTGAAGAGGACCGAGTTTCACCTCCGGGCACTCGGCCAAGGCAAAGCCAGCGCTGGGAAGGCATGGTGATACCGGTCTAGGCGCTGCAGCTTTTGCTGTGGTAGGTGGGGTATGCTGTGCCCGTTTTGGGCTTGGCGTGCTTGGTTGGGGGGAGCTTGGAGCGGGAATGCTTGCTCGCTTTTCAGGCGTCGCACGGCGCGTCAGGACGCCTGGAGCTGCCTTCTCCTGTGCAGGCTCCGCGGCTCTTGTTGAGCCAGGGACGCCTGTGGGAGGTGGACGGGACTGCAATGCTTCAGGTGGCCGAGGCTTTGGAATGCAAGGCTGCATCTTCACGGGGGACGGAGCTGTGGCATCATCCAAAGCAGCTCGGAGCGTGGGAACGTTTATGTCCGCCTGCACCAAGGCCTCCTGTCATGACAGGGGCCCCTGTCTCCATCTCACACTTATCTCGTGCAGCATCAATCCAATGCTTGCATGTCTCACTCTAAGAGCATACTAGACCTTCGTACGTGCTATGCAACTTCATTAGCCCCAGCTGAAACTGAGTGTTTCATCAAGATCTTCCCAACACTCGAGTAACCTCAAGGGAAGGCATGGCCATCCGGGCCGTGTCCACACGCTTCCTCAGCAGGTCAGCGTGTCATCATTCCCGTGCTTGCTGAAATCATGCGTTATGCATGCTGGCCAGCAAGTTATCATTGGACTATTAGACCCCGCGCGCAAAACCAACGACTTCCTCTTCTGCAACGAGCTGCAGGCTGCAGCGCTCACCGGAGGGACGCAAAGCCACAACTTCTCCATCTTGGCCTCGACTGGACAGGGTTCAAGGAGTGAAGCCTGAAGCTCATGGTCATCTCAAATTGCATCGCTATAACTACACTTGAGTCTTACGGTGAAAC